GTGGGCTTATAGGATAGGTGGAGCACAACACGTGGGGTGTTGAAGCATTTAGGAATTTATTTATTCAATTTTATAACCAGGCTAATAAATTATATTAATAGTGTTGAATACCTTATAGATTCGGGTTTCTAAAGAGTAAAATTATGAAGAATATACACTTGAAAGGACGAGAGTGCTGTACTCAATGAAAATCTTATAGTCCAATGCTTATCTAGTTTTTCCTTATTCCTCAACCGCTGGGAATTATTTGACTACTCTCAAACCCCCTACCTAAGTAGCAATACATTTTATTCGTTATATTTATGTATATAGTTTTTTTAAAAAAAAAGAACTAGAAATTGAGGTAATTTTTTTTAATTTATTACTTAAAGGAAAATGTTAATGATTTATTAAGAAATTATTTGTATATTAATTTAAAAGCTCGTTTCTACTTAGTTCTTATAATCCCTTTTCCTCAAACACGTGGTACTCTCTCTCTCTCTCTCTCTCTCTCTCTCTCTCTCTCTCTCTCTCCCAACCCTGGGGAGCGGGAACCACAGGTTGGGAAAACCTGAATACGATCTGGAAGTATTAACGATTAGTTTAAAGGTAAACGCTACTGTAGTGCACACACAGATAATGAATGTATACTACTACATTGCTCTGTGTAAAGTTCACATTTGTAAAAAGAAAATCAAGCACAATTTATAAAAATATATTAAAATACTTTGAACAAATAACTGAGGCATAATCTGTATCTAGGTCACATGGGCTGGACTTTTATGTTGGGGACCCCAAACTACATTTAACATTTTATTCTAAAAGTACAAAGTTTGTCAAAAATAGATTGTAATTGAACCTCCCATAAACTTTGCTTTAAAAAAGTATCTTAAATATTTATGATTTGTCTTAATGTAAATACGAAAAAAGTAATATTTTATAGCGATGTAAACAAACATTTCATTTTGCTTTATCAATCTGATTGGCTTCCCCCCCCCCCTTTTTAATAAACACATATTTTCAGAGCACTTCTTGTTACATTAACGTAATCATATGTAATTTACGTGTTTTTTTTAAGGTATGTACTACTTGTATAGCAGCATCAATTTCGTCTTAACAAAACAGAGTTCGCACACTTCAAGTGTATGTATTCAAACTGTAACATGTTGTTTTATACGATAATTGTTTAGCCTTCACCAGCGCTGTCCTTATTGTTTTAATAATAATGGGCATAAGTAAAATGTGTACAAAACAAGCGGGCTGCTACGAATGGAGGGGGAGGGGGGAAACGGATAACACCTGCTGAGGTGATTGTTTAACATATTAAGGAAATGTGTTACCTTTAAAATTCACACTGAGTTTCATTTAAAAATAAGGTGAGTGACAATTAAACAAAAACTCTAGATTTAAACACAAAGTGGGCGAGATTTAAACACAAAGAGGATTAGATTTAAATAAAAAGTGCGTTCGATTTAAACACAAAGTAAGTTAGATTCAAACACTAAGAGAGTTAGATTTAGACATTAGCTGGGTTAGATTAACACAGACGTAACAAAGATCACCACTCGATTATTTGACCACAAATTGGTCTACTATACACACAAAAAAAGGAGAGTGCAACCTTTGTGAAATACAAGCCTAACGTACAACCACTTTAAATGTACACCACAATAGACCACATGAATCGGACAGTCCTGCAATGTAAAATTATGGCAGAGACATGCACTATAGAAGACACGATTTATATTAATAGCAGCTGACCGATTATTTAATGTACTCCATAAAAAGTTCTGGAAAATATTTTAGTGTCACTTAGATTTTTTTTTTTTTTAATGCTGAATAAAGAAAAATAATAATTTGCTAATTGACATATTAAAAAAGTTTATTTTGACACAAGTCATTGTAAATCTACAGGTCCTAAGTTATATGCCACTATTTTGTCATTTAGTATAGCACCTCAGTTTACTTGTCACGGCCAAGGAGACCCTCAGATACTGGGGCACTTTTGAAATCAACACACACTGGAGGACAACAGAGCCAAGAGACTTTGTTCACTGGTAAATAGTGATCAAGACTGTTCCCTTTAAGCTGCGCGGGTGCGCGGCCGCGCAGCAATCTCACAGACGCAGCTTATTTCCACTTAAATGTGTGTTTGTGTCTGTAGGCTGTTAAATTTTGCACACAAAAAAATTGATGCTGTAAAAATTTGCACACAACTTTATGATTTTGCACACGAACCAACGAACCTTAGAGGGAACATTGGTCATCGGGGCAGCATAAACTTTAGCAATAGATCAATAGTTTAATAGACTAATAGATCAATAGACCAAAAGATGAATAGACCGATACATCGATCAATCAATAGATCAATAGATCAGTGTTAGAAAAAAATTGTCTGAAATTTGTGCATTACAGGATTTTTGTTTTTAATGTATAAATTATACTGACAATTTATTAAGCCGAATTAAAAACACGAGATGATTGTTAATTGTTTTTTCTAATGATTTCGAAAATTCGTATAAAAATTTGAAACATATATAATTAATTTTTTTATTTAAAAATAATTAAAAATGTAAGCATATGTGTTATAAAATTGACTCGAGCCTAGTTTACACAAGTAAATATCTTACATTTAAATAAAATTTAAAAAAAAAAACATTTTAGAAAAATAATACATGTCTGTATGACTTTTTAAAATCCTTTACACTAACATCGCTTTCGTTCGCGGGTGACTGGCTGGCAAAATCTTCGGACGGCTAATTGACCCACATCCCGTCAACCGATCGAGATAAAATTTGGTACATGTATTCGACACCGACCTGTCATTCGATGACATTACATTCTATTAAATTTTCAGTCCCATCCCCAACATTAATCTCTAAAAATCAGTCGTTCCTGTTTTTCAAGGGATACTCAAAGAAAATATAATGCCACTAAATTCATGAGCAAAGAAATCACGATTTCTGCGCTAAATGAGATTTTTAAAAAAATATCGCAAAGTGCGATTGGTGCGTAATATTTTCTTTTGTTTTTCTGAAATGAAATTTTTGGTGAAATAAATCTGCAGGTTCACTAGAATAGTAATATAATTCAGCGGCGTGATAACATGGGCGGCTGTGAACCCTGGAGGTAGGGTGGCACTAATTGGGTCTCTTATAAAAGGCCCCACCCCCATTGCTCAATATTACATTTTATAAAGAATTTATATGGAAAATTTAGTTTTTTTTTAGATTTGTTAACTTTAATTTTAAACACCTTATTTAATGTAAATTCTCTACAAATAAATAAAAAGAATCATTAGAGAATATATTTTTAAAAAATAAAAGAAGTAATTTTTTAAATATGGAAGGAATAAAATTTCATGAAAATATGGTTTCCTTTAGGTTGTTAAGACATGCAGCAGAATAAATTATTCAACGGTATTACAAATTAGCTCTTATTTCTTGCAATACAGGTGGTGTGTTCCACTTACAAGCCGGTGATCTCATACAGGTCTGCGTGTCTGGGCGAGACATTGTCAACTTCAAGAGCGACAGCACATACACAGGTCTAATAATGCTGGCTGCTCCGGTGACGGCCACAAGTACTGTAAAAAAATAACCATGGGCCCCAAGCTGGAGGAGGTCCAGCTTGGGGGTCATTTGCTTACCTCATGCTTGTAAATATGTATTTAATATTGATGTTTATATGGGTATCGAAATAAATATCGTAATATTTGTGAATAAAGAACTACTACAAGTTTCGTTATTTACAACAATATTGTTGATATTATTATCATCGTCATTGGCGTATCTATCTATGAAGGAGAAAATGAAATGACGTAATGGCACAGTGGAGAAAGATACGATTAAATGTAAAAGAAGATATGAATACGAAATTGAACGCATCAAAGAAAGAAGATGATTATATGTGACACTTCAAAGCAGTTACAATGAGTTCATTTTATGAAATCGGATAATTTTCTGTGTAAATTAAGCACGATAATTATTGTAAAGTTAAATTAATTTACATGAGTTGGTCACAATGTGATAGAGGAACCCTTCCTTTTTTAATTTCAAATAATTTGTTATTTCATATTTTTTATTGTCTGCCGAAGAAAGCATTTAGCCTAGTGTCCTTTTAATTGTTGTGTCTTTGGTGTTTTTGTGTGGTTTTTTTTTGTAGTGGTCAAGCTTAATTATATCTTTTTTTCCCGTTATTTATTTCCTTGAGAATCTCTTTCCATTTAATTATTTAACTTCGTTATTAAGATAATTTAAAACAATGATTTTTTTAACTACAAAGTAAAATTAAATTAAAAATGAACATAAAAATATGAGCTATTGGTGGATTTCTCGAGACGTGTATCTTCCTTGCGGCGTCATATCATAACTTTCGTTTCGCCCAATCACGCTCCACGATATGAGCTTAAGGTTTGACAGGAAATCAAGCTGAACTAGCTAACTCTTTTGACATCTGTACTGTGTAATTAGACTAACCATGTTAATGTCGTCGATATAATTTATTTGAATTCGAAACAATGGTAGTTTACAGTTTTTTGAAGGTTCCATTTTTATTGAGTTAAGTTTGCTATTATTTTAAAGTACTTTATTTCAATGACATCAAATTCAGCCGTTCTTCTATTTTCAATCTGATGAATATGTCGAACTATTTATTGCTTCAGATTATTTAGTTTTAAAGCCTTGCATGAGTGTAGCATTTGACCCCCGAGCAGGCTGCCCTACAGTTTGGCTGTCATGCCTTGACATTTCAAACGTGCTTATCAAAGAAGTATTCGATGTAAACATTTAATTTATTCACTGTATGCATATTCACTTTCCTGACTTCAAACTAAACATTTGTGGATACATTTTAAAAAAAAATGTATTAATAAGACACGAACAAATTGTGTCAATAGAACAATATGAGTTAGCTTTAATAATAATTGTACATTATACAGAATTAAACGTTTCGGCACATGCCTTCATCAGTACAAACAAACACAACACATTTAAATAAGTATAAATTAAATTTACATAATG